GAGAGAGAGAGAGAGAGAGAGGGAGAGGGAGGGAGAAAAAAAGGAAGAGAGAGAGAAGCTTGCCCAAGGTCACACAGCTAGAAGCTTTGGAGCTAGAACTGGAACTCAGCAATGTCTGACTCCAGACTTCATGCTCTAACCACGGGGCCAGGGATTCTCAGCCTCAGCCCAACTGCCAACTTGGGCTGGATAATTCTTTGCTGCAGGGCCGTCCTGTGTATTGTAGGCAGCGGCCCTGACCCTACCCACCAGATGCCACACCAACCCCAACACCACCCCCAGCTATGACAACCCAAACTGTCTCCAGGCATTGCCAAATATTTCCTGGGGGCTAAACTGCCCCCCGTTTGGGAGCCACTGCCCTAAACGATGCTGTTTCTAGTGTTAGGGATGTGACCCAACCCTGGGGACACGGACCGGCTGGGGACACAGTTTGGAGGGACATGGTCACACGTACCAGGAACATTCAGCTCAGCTAGGGAGGCAAGACTGCTGCAGGGGCCAGGTCAGAAGGCAGCTAACTGATGAGCTAGCAGAATCAGACGGCAGGTGCTATGCCAGAGTGAATACGGGTACACGTTGTCTATAGGAAGTGCATGGACTTGGCCTTGGACCTGCTGAGGGCCACCATGCCTGCATCCTCACATCTGCACAGGGCACTAGAAAAGTCAGCTTGTGCCAAGGGTCCATGTGCAAGGCCACCCAGGCACACCGTGGCAGTATCTGGTGGGAGCTCACGTGGCCCCACAGGAAAGGAAGCCATAAATCAGGGAGCCGGTGCCAGGCCTGGAGCGTGGGATGAGGCTCTTCCCTGGAATGCCCTGGTATTTGTTTTCCAGCTGGGCCTACATGCTTGGCTTCCTCTGTCAAGGCTTTGGCCTTTTTTGGGGCCCTGCCCTTCCAGACTTTTTCCAAATTCAAAATGCCTGGGCTCTCCGAGCTGGGGAAAGACAGTGCCGTACTGAGGTTTGCTCCTCCTGCCCTCCCAGCCTGCCCTCTCCCAGCGAGGCTCTCCCTGGTAACAGAGCCCTCTCAAGAAAAGACCGCCCCCTGGGAGCACAGGCCTACGGGCACTGCCAGGGTGAAACAGCATAAGGCGAGAGTCTGTGAGCAATTAGCTGGCCCAGTGCTGCCAAATCCAGAAGTCCAGTGGAATCCCCAAGCCCCACATACATACGGGGTCCTCCCCAGAGGAATCCCAGGCCTCTTCAGTACATCATGGAGACTTCCAGTCACCTGCAAGGCCAAAAATTCATCTTCAGAGGCCTCTCCCTGAAGGAAGAAGCCTGGTCCTGCAGAAGCAAACCTGGATTCAGCCGGAAGAGAGAGGGAGGAGAGAGACGAGGCCCAAACATCACTGTCCTCTTAGAGGGTGCTCCAATGGAAAACTGGGGGCAGAGTCCGGGGGCTGCCCGTGGCTCTTCTCTCCCCTGCCCAACCCACCACCCTGCTCCAAGTCCCAGCCCCGCCCCGACTTGCTGTGCAGCCTCGGACAAGTCCCTTTCCCTCTCTGAACCTTGGAGGCCATTTGTCAAGTGCAGGTAATGAACATCTGACCTGCTGGTCTCTCACAAATGGGTGGCTGGATGAGAAAGTACTTTGCAAAGAAGGGAGCACACCCCAAGTGCAAGGAGCACTGGCCGTGAGTCTTTGAGGTGCCGGCCCTGATCCCGGCCCAGGAGATCATCAGGCGCTCCCAGGCTGAGGCTCACACAGACCGGGAGGAGAAAGCTAATTAGGAAGTGCGACATTAAACACAACCAAGTACATCAGACTCTCCAGAGACCAGCTTGCTTGCGGTCAGAAAAACATTGTCTGAACAGTCAGTCCTACTTCCAGAGAATGTGGACTTTTTAAACCTTATCTGAGATCAACTTCACTCTTTAAAGTGACCCCTGGGAAATGAGAAATGGAAGGTCTGAGTAAGGTTCACAGTCTTGCCCCCTCCGCGGCCACCAGTGAGACTGTTGCATGGTGACGCTGCCCACCTGCTCATTCACGGGCCTGATTGTCCCAAGGCCAGAATCACATTGTTCTGTCGGCACCATGGTATTGGAGGGGAGGGGAGATGGGGTGCCCCGGGCCCCACGTGGCGGGGGAACCTCAAATCCTGCCAGTCAGCCAGGATTAGGGCTCAGGGGAGGAGAGAGGTGACTTCATCTGCTAGTGCTTTCACAGCCCAAAGCCGGGGCACGACCTGCCGGGCCAGGAGTCACCAAGGTCACCCAGGAAGGTGGCCCTCCCTGCTTCCAAGGGCTTGCTATCTGTCTTCCTGTATCCACTAGCTTTGTTCAAGGAGGTTGTTTAAGGAGGTGGAGTAGTGGTGGATAGGGTGTAGGGGCAGCCCAGAGAGTGAGGAGTGACCTTGGAGTCAGTAACAGGGAGACTGCCTGCCCCTCGGGGAGCCAGAGTTCCCGTCTTCCTGCCTGAGCATTGCAGCACCCACTTACACTGCAATTAAAGACAAGCCCCCTTCCTCAGGGTGCAGGCTGTCACAGATGTGGCCCTGGCTTCTCTGTCCAGCCTCATCAAAGTCGCTCTGGCCCCTGTCACTCTGCACTCCAGCCCACCAAACGGCTTCCAGTTCCTTAAAACCAACGCCTCTAAACTCTCTCCAGCCTCAGGGCCTTTGCACACTCGTCCCCTCCCCCTCCAGGTGTCCGGGTGAGCATCACTTACTCAAAAATGCTTTTCCTGACCCCCGTTTCAATCTAGACTAAACCTCACTGTGGTATTTACCACATCCCCTATAGCAGTTATCACGCTTTGCAACTATTATGTTAACTTGCACATTTGCGTGGTACTTTGAGCTCTGCAAGGGCAGGGACTATATCGCAGCTCCGAGCAAGTGGCCAGCCCAGAGTAGACACTCGGTGAATTGTTACTGAAGAAATGAAGACGTAAGATTTGCACACAGGGAAGCAAGTCAGACGCCACAGAGGAATGTGGAGGGAGGCCACGGGCAGGGGCCACAGCTTCCAGGAGCGTCAGAAGGAAGGGACAGTGACAGGAGATTTCCTGTGGGGCTTATGAAGAGCAATGGAGGCTTGGTTTTAGAGGTGGAGTCTATTTCTAGAACATTCCTTCGTTTGATCCATTTTGTGCTAAGGATGGGGTGGACGGTCCTGGCCTCATTCAAAAGTCAAGAACCCTGCCTGGAAGTCAGTTAAATAGTGAACACAGGAGAAGGTGCCCAAAGAGGCTGTGGTGGATGCTTCATTGTGCAGAACCTGGAGGTGGCTTCCCAGCAAGGGGCCCCCCGGGGACACGAGCTGATGTGTGTCCCCTCCCCGATGTCAGGACGGCATTCTGCTGGGAGCCGTTGGCGCCTATGACTGGAACGGAGCCGTGCTGAAGGAGACCAGTGGCGGGAAGGTCATTCCCCTCCGCGAGTCCTACCTGAAGGAATTTCCCGAGGAGCTCAAGAATCATGGCGCCTATCTAGGTAAGAGCCCGAGCTAAGTGTGGCGAATGGGCGCGGGCGAGGAGGGGCCCAGGGGAACGTGCCCCCACGTGAAACAAGGACCTGTCTGTGAATATCCTGCGAATGTCCAGGCACAGGTCAGGGGCCGCTGCCTCTTCAGCCTGGTATCCACATCTGGCACCATGCCCGGCATGCAATGGGCTCTCAATAAACAGGTAGAATAAATGGTAAGCAAAGCACCTGTACCTGAAATGTGCCTCAGTCGATGCTTCTAGATACCAGGCCCACTGTTGGTGTGCCTTTAAAACCTTCTGCCTTGGCTAGGGTTTGGGCACGCTGAGCTGCCTCCCAAGGCAACATGCACGTGGAGAAGTCCATGTTCGTTTTTATTGTTAACGTTCACCATCAAGGCAGAAGTCGCTTCCCGTTAAGCACTTTGGAAGCAGACATTAAAGAGCAGCACAGGGGTGCCTGGGTGGCTCAGTCAGTTAAGCATCCGACTCTTGATCTCAGCTCACGTCGTGATCTTGAGGTTCGCGGGATTGAGCCCTGCCTGGTCTCTGCACTGATAGTGCAGAGCCTGCTTGGGGTTCATTCTCTCCCTTTCTCTCTGCCCCTCCCCGATCGTTCTCTCTCTCTCTCTCTCTCTCTCTCTTGATA